AAACTGGAAGGAAGAAAGAGGAGAAGAGAAATGTAGTGTCAACTTTTATAACAAAGGCAGTTGATGCTCTTTAAAGTTTATAAAACAAGAGAGAGTAGTATAAGCATATAGTTATTTAGCACTGTGGCCATAACCACCAAGATAGCACATCAGAAATGGACAAAAGGAAGAGTGAATGTTTATCTTGATGACAAGTACTACTTCAGTAATCAAAACAGGCCAGCTAGATAAGTGCTCGGCTACAATATATGCAGATCTAGAGGGACAGAATCACTAATTTTAACACGCCTGCCTGTGCAGTCATTCCAGCCACCGATCTGTCGGAGCAGATTTCTACTGCAGGCACCGAAGCCTCAGGGACAGGCAATATGAAGTTCATGCTGAATGGGGCCCTGACTATCGGGACCATGGATGGGGCCAACGTGGAAATGGCAGAGGAAGCCGGGGAAGAGAACCTGTTCATTTTTGGCATGAGAGTAAATGACGTGGCTGCTTTGGACAAGAAAGGGTGAGAGAACAGCTCTCCCAGGAGGGTACCTGCCTACCCAGGCATCCCATCAAGGTGGAGTCACATGAAATGTGGCAGCAGAACATTCCCATGAATCTGGGGAGCCTCCTGGCCACAGATTAGTCTTACTAAACCCAGCAAGTGAAGAGAAAAGGCAACTTGGACCCAGGTGCATGGGGTTATCGCTCTGTGTTATCAGCCATTATAGAGCTGGCCTGATGAGCTAGTCACATTTCCACATCTGTGATTTTTACTTTGATCAAAAGATGATCCAGTTTCTAATTGAAGTTTTTGCATATAATTTAAAGCATTTAGTATCCCTTTGAAATTGCAAAGAGAGGGACTGAAATGTGGGAGAGGATAGGTATGGATGTACAGAAGCACCCAGGAATACTCATTTCACTTAATTTCTGAATAAGTTGATTAACCTGGATTCAGATAAGAAATAAAGAGTGCTGACCAAAGGAATTATAGGGATCACAAAATTTGGAGGGTGTCAGATACACTTCCTGAGTTTTGGAAGTAAATTTTTACTCAGCAACAAATTTGGGGGTCCAAAAGGCAAATGGTTCCCTTAACACAATGCTTGTATAGAGCTGTAAAGTCTGCTTTGAAATGAAAATTATATTTTACCAGAACAGACTATTGGTCTGTGACTAGAATTTTTATTATCTACTGTCCTTAATGTCTTCAGTTACAAAGAACTAATCAAATTTAATGGGAAAAATTTTCAGGATCTAGTCAGATATTATTTATACCTATATTGAGCTTTACAACGACTTCTATAAATGCTAATATTTCTGAATGCGTTTTTCACAGCTAATGTGGTATCTAGTGTGCTGTTAATCACAAAGACTAACAGAACCTTTTTCCTATTGCACCCACACCCACACCCCTACCCCACAGGTACGAGGCAAAAGAATATTACGAGGCACTTCCAGAGCTGAAGCTGGCCATTGATCAAATTGACAATGGTTTCTATTCTCCCAAGCAGCCTGACCTCTTCAAAGACTTAATCAACATGCTGTTTTATCATGATAGGTGAGTTCCCCCAAGAAGATATTATTTGGGCCATGAAAAAGGGACAGGAACATCTTAAGCCAGCTACAACCCAACTATGTAGATGCGCATAGATCTGTGATTTGATAAACTAACCTAGGTTTAGAAAGAAAAATGAAATATTCTCCACTAGCAATGCTAGGAAGCTTTAAGAATAAAACCTACAAATCTTATATTTTTCTCCTCCCACTGGTGTACCTAGCTTTCGGATGCATCCATTTGATGACATTCTTGTGTGGAAGAACCATAGAAAGGTTGAGGGCTATTTAAAATTCTCGTGAATAGAAATATGAGTTTGGTGAACCAGCCATGCCTGACGTTAAGCAAAGGAGAATTTTTAATAGAACCTTAGCTCATATCTGTTAATTACGTTTTTTGTTTTGTTTTGTTTTGTTTTGTTTTCCTTCCAATCTCTCTCTCACACACATAGGTTTAAAGTGTTTGCAGACTATGAAGCCTATGTCGAGTGTCAAGAAAAAGTCAGTCAACTCTACATGGTGAGTACGTTGCCGAGACTTATAAAGGAAACCAGTTTATTATACTTAATTAAAACTTCTGTTTCTTTTTATTGAATTTAAATAAAAAGGGCCCCACTCACCAATCAAAAAAGGGAAGCGAGGCAACTGTCTAGGTTATTCAAAAATCAAAACTTGATTTTTCCCAAGTTCAGGCAGAGTTCAAATCCCAATTTGACAGTTCAGTAGCACTTGTAAATTTTTTAAAATCCGAATTAAAAAATCACAAATAATTTGATACTCATTGAGCACCTACCATGTAGCAGGCATATCCTGAAAACTAAGGGTTTAAATCCAAATTAAATATTCAGTTTACTCAGTCATTTATTCAAGAGAGAGTCATTGGGGCCTTTTCCATGTCAGGCACTGTGCTGGGCACTGAGACCCCAGCCTAGACAAAGTCAAGGCCCCTCCTTCCCTCATCTCAAGGAGCCTGTTTAGTGTACATCGGAATCACTAAGGCAGCTTTTTAAAAATACATACAGGTGCCAGCCCCTCTCTGAGAGATCCTAACCCAGTAGCGGGTGGGATCACCACCAGTGTTGGAAAAACCTGCTAAAATGATTCTAAGGCTAAGCCTTAGTTTATTGGGATAAAGACTGACCCCTAGTCTTTGAAAATTGCAAAATTGAGTACCTCTTCTCAACTACCCATGGAATGGGGCTATATGAATAGACTATACGTGTATAAAAAGAAGGGATGTTTCATGTTTGGATTCAAAAAGAAAGAAAAAAAAGGAAAGGAATAAAAAAGACTATACCAAAACAAGAAAAGAAAAAGGCCAGAGTTATGTGAGTAACTTTTCACGTGCAGAGTTATACATCTCAATCATTTACTAAATGCAGCCCTCTATGCATTTAGTAAACACACGGAAAGGTTGATTATCTCTGATAGAAGACTTTTAGTGAATTGCAGACACCACAGAAGAATAGATGCTGGAAGAGGTTGGCTCTGTGCCAAGACTCCAGAGTGGGTCTCTTGAGGTCAGTGTCCTTGAGCCTTCTGGGCATGATTGCCCTTGCCCACATAGTCTCCATTTTTCCCTCCAACTAGTAAACTATTATACAGCAGAACTGCAGGGTTCCATAAAATCACCACCTCCTGCCCTTTGGACACATCAGTAACTACTTCGAACAGAAACATACTTCACTAACGTTTCTTCTTTCCTTTCCCAAAGTAGGTAACAGGGTGGTTCCTAAAGTCATCTCAGGTATCCCATCGGGGTTCAAAACTAGGATCATTCAAGGCCCGTGCTGCTTCGCAGCTCTTATTTTCTAGTAGAGCCATATCCAGTCCGCCAAAAATGTACAGACCAGAGTAAATTCAAGTTAAGCAAGGAGAGGCAGTACTACGGTTAAGCGGAGGGGCTGAGTCCCTGCTTCCTGAGTACTAGAGAGAGCAGCCACATACAGCCTGCAAGAACGCAAAGACAGAGGTTTTCTAGCTCTTTTCTCCTGGTTTCAACCCATGCTTGTATGTAGAAAGGCTACAGGAGAAAAGAAATAGAAATGAAACAGTAGGAAAGGAAAATCTGAGCACAGGCAAGCGCACATGTGAATGTTGGATTTGTACAATGGGTCTCTTCTGTTAAAATGATGGCCCCCATCCAAAGGGCGCCCATCTGAAGCCAAGCATCTGGTTCAGTCTTTCTTGTTCATTAGTGCAAATTGCAGTTCTAACTCTTAACAATAATTGTATTGTCGAGGCTTAGAAAACAATCCCACGTGGTTGGGAAGTCTAGTCATTAACAACATTTAAATAAATAGTTAAAGAAAGTGCAGAGGGGAAGCTTTTATTCTCTTATTTTAGCAAGTTTCCAGAATCTGAATAAACTGATTTCAGATTCTGTTCTGCAGTACCTTAACGAATGATGGTAGTTTCAGTTTTTCTTTTAAATGCTTACAATGCATTGCTATTGGTTTTGAATAATGTTCTGGTCATTTCCAGTGAACTGTTAAGAGTTCTTTACAAAATCATGAGGCTGTGAAATAAATCATTTCTTATATTCTTTTACATAAAATTATGAGATTTGGATAGTACAGTATTTTGTTAAGGATAAAGCCTTAATTGATCTTGTTTTGAAACCCCATTGGAGTATTTGGGATTCAGTATAAACCTTCTGGGGCATCTACCTTCAGAAAGAGCAAGAAAAGAGAAGTAGGTCCATAAAGTCTCTCATTGGATGGTTTGCCTGAGAGCTAACATTCTTGATTAGTGTTTTTCAAACTCTGAGAGTCACAGGTTAAATATCCTGACATGGCATCTAGCAGATAATGAATGTTAGTCCCTTCCCTTCCCCTGTAGTTTAAAGGAAGGTGTCTTCCTTCGAAATAAAGCATGGGAAATTTGGCTTACATGCCAAAATATTGTAACTATAGCAAAAACTATCGATTATATAATTTATGTCCATGGTTTCTCTGAAAATAAAAAATAATTTTTCATTCTTAAGAGACAGATATACTCTAAATAGGAGAAAAGCACAGTCTGCCCTGTTTAGCTCTCAACTGGGAAACAAATGTATTTGTGATTCACTACATTTTACTCTGGTCATTTTCTCCATGAAATGTGCTTGGATATGTTTGGCTTGATGTTTGTCATAAAGCTCCGGTCCTAGGCCTTATATTCCTGTGTTGTTTACAGAATCCAAAAGCCTGGAACACGATGGTACTCAAAAACATAGCTGCCTCGGGCAAATTCTCCAGCGACCGAACAATTAAGGAATATGCCAGAGACATCTGGAACATGGAGCCTTCAGATCTAAAGATTTCCTTATCCAATGAATCTAGTAATGGGGTGTACAAGGCCAATGGAAAGTAAGCTGTAAAAAATCTCTAGGAAAAATATCTTCTTATTGGACTTGAACATTTTTGCAACATTTTTTGTTTTGTTAGCTAATAATCTAGTTAAGTATCTCTGGGAATTGGGAGGGAAAAATGTGTAACTATATTAGGGCTAAAAAAATAAAGTGTCAATTTCCAGAAGCTACATGAGTACCAAAACGTGTTATTTTAGACAAATTGAGTAGCGTGCTAGGACTCTCCTCGATACCATTCAGAAAGCTAGAAAACTGCTTGGAATTTTTAAATGCCATTTAATTAACTAAACTAAAATGCAAATTACTTAACTACATTGGGGCACGTTTCTTACACTGCTAAGTCCAAACCAAAGACCACCTTATTCACAAATATCCAGGATGTTTGGTAACTATACATTTTTAGATGGGATCCAATTTTTACCAGATTCCACAGTGAAGTTTGAGCATGGTCCACTTTGTTAAAGAACTTTCCATAAAGCCTAGTATCCATACTTTGTAGATGGCAAGTAACTTGTAGAAATGTCAATGACTTCAGCTCATCCAAACAGCCCAATAGAATTTTACATAAAAAAAAAATAAACCTCACAGGTAGTGTTTGGACCAAGTCTTCACTGAAGATTTCCACTGCTCTCAGACTTCAGGCCCACTGCTGGCTCAGGAAATCTCTGCAGAAAAAGGACCTAGATCAGCTCACATGCCTTCCCCACGTCATGGTGTAAGCCAGACAACCCTAATTGCCTTTAAGGAAAGATCACATTTAGCAAAGCAACTCTTACCTCACAGTTTTTAACATTGTGGGGTTTTTACAAAGCAAGTTGTGTTGGAAGCCAGGAGGAAAGATCACCATCTTGACCCTCTCTTTGTTCCTATATGCATTGTGTGCAATTTCATAGAGCTGCAAGGGACAGAAAGACACAAAGGCTGACAATCAAAGCTGTTGTTTTTCTAGTCTTATTTCCCAAAAGCGTACAGAAACTGCCAACTTGTAGAGTTAGTCCCATTAAGTCAGAGGTATGGGGACTCTCCACATTCCCAACTGACTGCCTCTATAACTAAAGAACTAAAAGCTGCACAACTAATATAGAATAATGATAGAGCCTCGTCCTTCCACTGCCTATACCTCCCTGCAAATAGAAAGGAAATTGCAATGGACCCACTCTGTTTGGTTAAAAGAAAAGAAACTGCATCCCCACTTTTAGAAGTACAAGAGAGACTACATGGAGGTTCCCATAGCAGTGTGGGATCTTCTCGACACTTGTAGATTCACAGACCCCCAAATGAGGAGCCAGGGTCCACCACAGACACTCCTTTGAGCTGAGTAGCGTAGGGCACTGATGCTTATACACCAGGCAGCGTGGCTATTTAGGACTGTAGAGAATCCCATATCATGTCAAAAACCCTGCTTTGGGCTCTAATCAAAGTTTGACTAGAAGAGAAGATGGTGAAATAAGTACAGTATGTCTCAGTAAGGACCGAGCTCTTGGTTTACCTTTTTTCCTAACTCCAGAGGCACTGTATTGTCATCCTCACCATGAAGGATGAGAAGGGGAGAAGACAGGAATTTAACACTAGGAAAAAGTAGAAGAAAAGCATTCAGTTCAAGAATTATACATTGAGATTTCGCCTCTTCTAAGTTAAAGCTTTAGCAAAAAAATGAGGTTTGCTCAGAATACAAGAACTCTTTCCTTCCCTCCCAAGAATAACAACTTCATATATAATAAACTTCACACAATACTTTTTTTTCTTTTAGACAAGACCCTCCTTCTATTTACTTGTACAATTTATTAGGTATTTAATTAATTTAATCTACTTCTATGTGATTTTTTATTAAATAATGAATAAAAACACTGAAATACTGAATTTGTTCAGTTAGAGGAACCTCATCTTTTTCCTTATTCCTTATTTCATAATATTTGAGATGTTTTAATTAAGACTATTTAAGACAACAAAATAACTCAAAACCCCAAAATAACAAGAACTACCATAGACCAAAGAGAATTATTTGTGGCAATTTATTTACTTTTCCTCATAAATGTACAGGATGAACATATGAAAAACAGGTTTGATTAGCTTCCTCGTCAGCCTCCTAGTTTGGTAATTCAAAAAGGCTGTGGCATGAAGAATGGCTTCAGTGGCATTCTCAAACAATAATCCCCACCCAAATTCTAATAGCCATCCATCCGTGCCACCATGACGCACTGTTACTCCTGGTAATGTCAGATCCCTTGAGTGTGTTGAAATGGAAAAAATACTGATAATGACTACCTGTTTGCAATCACTCAAATTCTCCAACTGCAAGAGAGTAACTTGCCAAATTCTAGTTACTATATTTGCTCTCAGGTTAGTAGACTGGGTAGCAGATGGTTACATGGGGAATAAGACCTAGAAGTCAGGGATTCCCCCGAGGAATGTTAGGCTAGACCCTAGAGGACTTTTCCAAGGTCCCGATGGGCCCTACATCTACAACTCCAAATCTGCGAAGTCATCAATTAGTCATGAGGAAAATATCAAATACTAAATATTTGTAGATATATTACCCCAAATCCTAGTGCCCACTTACTCTTTCAGACTTCTCATCTTCCCACCCATTAGGTCACACGATAGTTACCCTCCAGAATCCTATACATATGGTAATATAATAATGGACATCTTTTTATCATTAGCTTACTTTTCATCATTAGGGAAGACTATTTTGTCCTTTCTCAAGGCATCCATAAGTGTGCGTAAAAATCCTGGGAGTTTCCGGTAAATCTATTAAAGAGGAAAAAAATTATGTCATTTGTTGTAGTTTCCCATGATGAGCTACAGTGATACAGGGAGTAGTACCTTTCTAAATATCATAAACTTCTCTTAAAAAAAAAAACTTTTATGATTTTATGAGTAATTTATGTTATTGTAGGGAATTTGAGAAATACAGAAAGGAACACAAGAGAAACAAGTCACATATAATCTCACCATCTGTAGACTATCACTGTTAACATTTTGTTGTTTTTACTTACCATCTTTCTTTAAAATACAAATAGCACCACTAACTTATCTCTTCATGTTCTTAAAGGAGCAATGATATGCATAATCTAAAAATTGCTTCTACATTGAACATAATTAACTGGTTTAGTTGGAGGAGAGAGTATTCTGATTAGTTAAAAATTCTGGTAAAGTATGCAATACATGGATAATTGGTTTTGTAGGACTTAAACATTATAAAATGTTGACTAGGACTTAATATTGCAATGTTTTTAAAGGCGTTTTAGATTTTGATAATGACCACAGGACTCCAACAATTACCATTCTAAAGGTACTGATTTTTCTCTTTAATGGCAAATTCCAGTAAATAGAATGCTAATTAAATCAGCTTTTACTATATACACCATTTATTAAGTAAATAGGTAAATTGGTTTATCTCCCCTAAAAACCTCCACTTCAACTGAAAATGAGGAAAGAACAGAAACCCTGAACAATATTGCACCTTCTTCACAAACTTCCATCCTACCTCCAGCCTATATCCCAAATTCATTCATTTCTCTCCATTTTCATAATCACTCAGCCTAACCCACCCTTCATCTCTTGGATTACACCAACAATCCCAAGTGGCCCCCTGCTTCCACCCTTGCCCTACTATAATTCGTTTCCCACAGGTAAACCGGTCATGAAACGTGCCAATCACATCCTATCACTTTATCGCTTCACATCCTCCAAAGGTACTTGGACTAAACTCAAGTGTCATTTTGGCCTTCAAGGCCCAACGCAGTTTAGTTGCTGCTGCCATCTCCAGCCTCACCTCCCTTCCTGTCCACCCTTAGGCACTGCTACCTTCTGCTCCTGAAACACATCGGCCTTGATCACACCTCAGGGCCCTTGCCCTTGCTTTTCCCTCACCCTAAGACCTCCAGATTTTCACATGAGAGCTGGCTGGCTCCTTATAATGCAAGTCTCAGCTCAGATGATATTTCTTCAGAAAGGTTTTCTCCTAACCAGCTATCGAAACTTGCCCTCCCACTACCTCGTCATTCTCTATCCCATTATTCTATTACTTTCACAGCACTTCTTACTACTTAAAATCCTCTTGTGTGCTTATCTTCTCTCTGTCTCTCCAGCAAGTATATAAACTTCATAGGAGGACAAACCAAAACTTTCTTATTCCCTGTAGTACTTTTAGAACCTAGAAAAGTTCCTGGTACCTAATGAATATTCAATAAATATTTGCTAAACATGGATTCAATCTATTATATAAATAACCCTGGTATAAACTTTAAGCTATTATCAGTCATTTTTATCTTAGTGTGACTGAATTTTATTCAGATTTTATTCCTTGGAATAAATTTGTAAAGAGGAAAGACTAGCAAAGCATTACATGTCTCTGTTGTGCCTGAGAGGGGAGTGGGGAGAGAGTTAAGTGTAGTAAATGGGTCGTTGCCTAGGGAAGGAAATGGGTACAGAATAGGTAGGCTGCGGCCAGCAAGCACCAGCTTCACAGTTTTAAAAAGAAAAGAATTGTGTTCACTGTAGAAGCAATTTTTAGATTGTGCATATCACTGCTCCTTTATGACTATGGAGAAATTATAGTTGCTATAGCATGTCATTTGTTGTAGTCTTCCACTATGAAACTTAAAAAGAATAAAACCTTTTTTCTGATTTTAAAAGGTAATTCATGTCATCGTAGGAACTCTGGTACATTGTAGGGAATTCGGTAGGAAAATGGGTACAGAATCTGTAGGTTGGGGCCAGTAAAGACAGACTTCTGCTTCACAGTTTTGGTGTCGGCCTGCTGATTCCAAGAACCTCCGTGGTGTCGGGGTTTGTCTGGTCTGCATTTTTTGCCCCTGGTATCATAGATTTTAATTCAGGTGCAGTCTCTAGATCCCAACACTGCCTCTCCTTCCCTTTCTTTCTTTTCCCTCGTTTTACCCATACTAAGAGCAAAATTTCTTGTTTTCTGTTTTCTTTGTCTTCTGATTCCACCACCTCTGAAATCAGGACTCCTCTGAGGGAAATTCAATAAGAGAAGCCCTTCGGCAATTCATCTCAAATTCCAACAGAGTAGGAAGAAAGCCAGCCCAAGTCAATCTACTCCCGTATTCCTCACTCCTCACCAGCCGAGGTGCCCCTTGAGACTCAGAGGTCATGCCATCCCCTCCAGCCCAGACCACAGCAATGGGCTTCTAATTGGTCTCCCTGCCTCCTCTCTGTTCTAGACTATCACAAGATAAATATTCTTAAAATACCAGTTACAGTTACACGAAATCTGTTATAAAGCAGTGCCACACTACTTTAAAAAACAAAACAAACTCTTAGCTTGGCTCCAGCCCATCCAGATCTGGCCACAGTCTTTCATTCCAGAGGCTATACACCTTCAGTCTGTCTGCCTGAGGTTAGAAACTGCAGGACTGAGTCCCATTTCCTCTAACAGGGTACGTGGCACTTGGGCAAGCCTCTGAGCCTCCATTTCCCTCAGCTCTAAGTAGAGGCAGTGATGCCAGATTCACAGAGTCACTGCGAGGATGTAAAAGGGTAACAAGTGTGAAAGGTCTTATATGGAAGGCCTATATGATTCTCAGCTATCTTATAACACATAATTGCCCCATTCTGGCCACGTGCCTTGATTCACATTCTCCCGTCTTCTCTGTGTTACTTAACTGCTCTCCCTTACCTTCAAGAAAGAAGCATAGGTCTTATCAATCAGTAAGTCTTCACTGACCACACCTGTGCACAAGATTCTTCCCTTCCCTGAATTTTCCCTATGCTGAAATTATTCCGGGTTCTCTCCTAACACTTAATCTTAGTCTACTTTGTAATAGAAAGAGCGGGAAAAGAACATGCATTTGTTGAGTGCTACTAGCAGCTGGGTACTCTGCATAGATTATCTAATTTAATCTTCAGAACAACCCTATGCAGTAGACAGCATTGACGTCATTATATAAAAATGGGAAAACTCAGAGAAGAAAAATAACTTACCTAGGTCATAATTGGTTAGTGGCAGAGGCCAAGTTTGAACTCAAATCTTTCTGGCTCCATAGCCCATGCTGTTTTTCCACTGTGTCACGCTGCCTTCCTATTCTGAGTAATGAAATTGATTCCAGAGTGACACATGGAAATCCCTGTCATTGGTTTATATCCCTCATTAATTTCCTACTCCCCAACTAGACAGGAAGCTTCTTGAGGGTAAGGATCTATGCCTTTTACTACATCTGTATGTCTCCTACAACATACATTTTCCTATTAAACAGTAACATTCAGAGTTATGGCACTCCACTGATAATAAAAATAGCTAATGGCCATTGAATGCTTACTCCGTGCCAGGCACTATTATAAGTGCTTTTCATTTCTTAGTTCATTTAATTATTACAACAATCTTAAATGCTATGAATAATCCATTGTACAGATGAGGCAAAGCATCAAAAGTAATTAGCCCAAGGTTACTCAGCTGTTAAATGACAGTCCTGGAAATCAAACCCAGGAAGTGTCACACCAGAGGCATGATTCTTACAGACAGCACACTACTGGAGGGCTGCAACACTTCTCCACCATCAAAGTGCCGATTAAACTAAGGTTTTACGGCATTTAAAATTAAATTCCAAACTTTAAGATAATAGGAGATTTCACGCTTCTTAATAATACAGGAATTGTTACAGACGAGATCTTGTGCTAAAGACAAGTAGAACAGCTGGAAAAGATGTTTTCAAAACTTTTCTTTGAAGGTGTCAGAGACCTACCAAGGCAGTGAGTTCCTGAGTGGTCTAGATCCCAGAGAGAAAGGAAGCTCAAAGGGTTAAGCCTGACCTTCAACGCCACTCTCCTCCATTAGACACAGCTGCTGAGTCAGAATAGAGCAAGAAAGGAAAGGCTAAAGAATTCAGAGCAGCTGACACAAATAGATAAGAACATAGTAAGAGAGTACATTTAAACCTAAATATATCATAATTACATTAAATTTAAACAGACTCAATACTACAATTAACAGACAAAAATTTGTCATACTGGAAGAAAATCAAAACCCTACTATATGCTGCTTATAAGAGATTTACATTAAATATAAAAATTCAGAAAAATTGAAAGTCGAGGGATGGAAAATGATGTACCATGCAAACGTTATTCAAAACAAAAGTATACTAATATCAGACAAAGTTAGCTTTAAGTCAAAAAGCATTATTAATCACAAAAGGGGGTATTTCATGATGAAAAAAGGATCAACTCACATGAAAGATATAAAAATTACATTATTATTAGATGTATGTTTCTAATAATGTAACCTCAAAAAATCTAAAGCAAAAATTGACAGAACTAAAATAGACATAAATCCACAATCATGGTAATATATTTTAATACTCTCCCCCCAAGTAACTGATAAAACAACTAGTCAAAAAAATCAGGATATAGAATTACATAATATGATCAACAGTCTTGACCTAATTGACACATATAAGGCACTATACCCAAAACAGCAGAGCACATTCTTTTTAAGCATATGGAACATTCACCAAAACTGACCATATGTCAGGACATAAAGCAACTCGGAACAAATTTCAAAACCTGAAATCATACAGAGTATATTCTCCATGTGATGATGGTAGAATTGAGCTAGAAATCAGTAACAAATATCAAATCCCCAAATGTATAGAAATTATGAAATATACTGCTATGTAACCCATAGGTCAAAGAAGAGACAACATTACAAAATATTTTGAACTAAATTATAATTAAAATATATTTCAAAACATGAGATGCCAATGAAGTGTGGCTTAAGTGGAGTCTGCTGCAATGCATAAATTAGGAAAGAGAAAATACTGAAAAATAAATTATCCAAATATCATCTCAAGAAAATTTTTAAATAACAAATTAATGAAAATAAAAGGGAACAATAAAGTTAAGATCAGAAATTAATAAAAATAGCCTACAATACAGATGATCAACAAAGTCTAAGTGATCCTTTAAAAAAAACTAACTCTTGCTATAAGCTTTGGTTGCCCACCTTCTCCTTGCCCTTTTGTGACAGAATCACCTCCCCCTTTACTCAAACCTTAGAGTGCTATGTAGATCAGGCCAAAGCTAGACTTTACCGGAGGTTACATCTTGTCCTTCCCTATCCTACAGCCTTCATTCAAATGACTTTGTAGGTTTTCCTGAAGAGTACTCTTTCAATAAATCATACACACCAAATCTCTGCCATAGGCTCTGCTTACTAGTAGAACCTGACCTAAAACTGAAATTTAGAAAGCCAAATAATAATTAATTAATTTAAAAATCAATTTGGAAATACCATGTTCATGAATTGAAAGGCTCATTATTAGAAACCTGTCAATTCCCCAAAATTGATCTATAGATCCAAAGTAATCCCAATTAAAACCCCAGAAAGTTTTTTTTTTTTGTAGAAATCAACAAGTATATTTCAAAATGTATGTGGAAATGCAAAGGGTCAAGAATAGTCAAGACAGTGTTGAATACAAAGAACAAAGCTAAAGAACTTATAAAGCCAGATATCGACATATTATAAAACTACGGTAATTAAATATGGAGTATTCATATGAGCATGGACAGAAAGACATGGGAAATAAATGAAAATCTACCAACAGATCCATATATACATAGAGACAGAGAGACAGATACATACAAACACTGGCACTGCAGAGTGGTGGGGAAGGTTCATTTAGTAAATAGTACTGGAGATAGCCATATAGACTTCTACATCCTACATATACAAAAATACATACCTGTGATATAGCTCTAAATATAAAAGGTAAACGTTTCTAGAAGATAGAAAAGTATCTTTATAATATTGGGGTGAGTAGAGTTTTAAACAGGATACTTTTATTAAAAGTATTGACCACTAAGAAATGTTGGTAAACTGGTTCACATGAAATTTAGGAACATCTCTTCATTACGAGATACCATTAAGGGAGTAAAAAGGCAGAACAAAATAGTACGAATAAATCTTTAATGACTCTTCCTGTGAAGAACTTCTACAAATAAAAAGCAAGACGACAATTTAAAAATGAGCAAAAGACATGAACAAATATCTCATAAGAGATGATATCTAAAAGGCTAATAACGTGAAAAAATGCCCAGCTTCATTAGTCATCAGAGAAATGCAAATTAAAACCACAATGAGATATCAATATGAGGCAAGGATATTAAGCAATTGGAACTCTCAGACACAGTAAGTGGGAGAGTAAAGTGGCAAAGTCACCTTGGAAAACTGTGTGGCACTATAACTACTAACACTGAACATATGTATACCTTTTTATCCAGCAATTCCACGCCCAGGGTGTACTCCAGTGAAATATGTACATGTTACAGAATATTTGTTCAAGAACATTCATAACAATAATGTTGTTAATTACCCCAAACAGAAAGCCACTCTGTCCACAGACAGTAGATCACTAAATTGTAGTATATTGATACAATGAAATACTATATAACAATGAAAATGATCAAACTGCAGCTATACATCATAGATAAAATCCTACTAATAAATGTTGAGTAAAAAAAAAATAGAATACATCTTATATAATTCTACTAATATATAAAGTTCAAAAACAAAACTATTGCTTAGAGATGCACACATGGGTGATAACACTATAAAGAAAAGCGTGGATATGAATACCATAAAATTCAGGCTAAGGATTATATTTAAGATGAGGTTTATTGGATTGGGAAGTGACATCTAGGAGACTTCTGGGATGCTAATGATACTAACTTCTTGACCTATGTGTTGGTTACATGGATGTTCAGTTTATAGTTATTTGTCAAATCATGTATTTTTCCCTATTATGGTTATTTTTTAAATTATAAAATTTCAAAAAAGAAAAGTAAATAGATTGTATCTGAATTGTTAAATACCTACATATTAGTGAATTTATTAATAATTGCTTGTAGTAATATAATAGATGCTCAACTAATGGTTATCTTAAAGTGAATATCCAATTGTCTAGAACCAATTGAAAATGTTTTATTTATTAAATCTTAAATTAGTCAGCATTCAGTATTTTAGATTGTAGAGGGGATTCCTGTATTGAGTTGGAGCTTAGATAGTACAGGCATTTTCAGGATTATGTGATTCTGTGAACTACCTGTCCCAGAAGTAGTGAGCTAACTTTCTCTGAAAAGTTCTAAGATGTTTTATTGTACAAAAGATTCCAAAAGCAGACAGTTGGATTAAAATATTCCTATGATGCCTTCCAAAATGTATGTGTGTGTGTGTGTGTGTGTGTGTGTGCACGTGCGTGTCTGTGTCTGTGTGTCTATGTGTGTCTGTGCGACTGTCTCTCATTTCTGACATTCATATGGAGGTATGATTATAAGCAACTGAGCATTAGACTTGAAATAAAATTATAACATTAGAAAAAAATAAAAAATAAATAAAATGATAACATTAGGATAATCTACACAACAGATTTTTAAAAAACTACATCTTGTCACCCAATTCTTTATACTTTATCTTCTTAGAAAGATTGTCTTCTCTATCTGGGATACTGTGTAAAACCATTTAGCAGCTTCCTTGAATTCTCTAGAGACTTTCTTATCATAACATCATGAAAGATATATGGCTGAAATTCATAGGGCCCAAAATGATGTACGAGAGGTTTGTTGGCACTTAAAAAAGAACAATAATAAATAAACTCAAATCAAGTCTATCTATTTAAAAATTGTAAAAGATAAGAGATAAAGCTTTGGCTCTTAATAAACCACTGAATCTATTATAAGAAAACAAAAGGACTACCAAATCCAAAAGCTATTGTGCCATCCTTCAATAGCAATGAGTTAATAACCTGTCTCAAGTTAGAATAACTTAGAAACATATAAAATTTGTTAAGAAAAGGAATGAGGTTAATAAATATGTGTGCGGAAATACTTTGACATCTTGCGAAAATAAGAGCCTCACCTTTAACAAGGGATAATTGATACTTGCAACCCACATATTGGTAAATGGAGCTTCCAGGACAATAGCATCAACTGGGGATCCTTGAAAAAAATAAAAAGAAATAACTGCCCTATCATGTTTAAATATCACTTTTCCTTAATAAGGGGTACTCAAGATCTTGTACATGAACTACCTATCTCAAAATCATTTGCGAAGCTCATTAATAATGCAAATTCCCAGACTGCACATCAGACTTATCGATTCAGAAGTCAGAATCTCAGGAGGGTTAGGTGTATGAGAATGTACATTTTTAACAAGTTCCCACCCATCCACCCAAGAGATTTCAATGTACGTGGTAGTTGCAAACCACTAACTTCTATAACACAACCAGATTTTCATGGCTTGGATAATTTAAGAAAGCAAAGAACTATGGGAAGGAAGAGTATTCTACAGTCTGTTGTTAAGAATGTGCCAGAGGCTGAGTAGGTTGGTTGTTTTAGCCAACACTTCCTCTGAGAACAATTAGAAAATGTGTGACAGAAGGGAATATGTGTATGTATATGTATATGTCTATGTTTGAAGGCATCTGAGGGCTACTAAATCAGTGACCGTTTGGAGAGCCAATACCAAAAGGAAAATGCCAAGAGTTTGAGCTGCCTTGTCTCTCAAAGCAGTTGAAATTCTGAAAGCAACAATGGTGGCCAAGAGGCTTAGAACTAGACAGAACTTTCAGCATTCTCATGGTACCAAAAAAGACAAAATTAGAATTCAGGATCTGACAAGGAGGAGAGCCTTAGTAAATTTCTTAGGCTTTTTGTTTTTACCTCAAAGTATGACACCTCGGGAGTAATGGTGAACTAGAAATAAACCAGCCCTCATAAAGACTGAAACCCAGCTTAAAATCAGCCCAATCTCTGATTGGATTAAAGTAATATCTTTCTCCTATAACTGACTTTCATGAGAAAAATTAATTATTCCTGGAAATAACATTACCCCTAGCCTCAGATTATGTCTACAATTTTCCATAAGCAATGGCTACCATTTCATTAAAAATAGCTAGACATAAAAAAGACAAAAATAGCCACCCCAAAATGAAAAAGCCAATAATAGAAATAGATCAACAAAAGATCTAGATATTAGAGTTATTGTATATAGACTTTAAAATAACTTATGGGTAAATAGCAAATAGTAAAATTATTAAAATTGTAATAATTACTAAAGCTTTACTATATTGATATTAAAGTATTAAAATTCTCACATTTAAAATTATTTACACAAATTTACATACACTTATGACGTACATAGACACATGATCTAAATATATACTAGTGATTAATGTATTCACGAAAACAATGACAAGAAAAATTTTAAAAGAAACCTATAAAGTCTATATAATCAAATAGCAATCCTAGAGCTGAAAAATACAAGGTAATTGAAATTAAGAAATCAATAGATTAGTTAAACATCAGTTTAGAATCAGCTACAAAGAATTAGTGAACTGCATAATAGATCAAAAGAAAATATCTAAACTAGAGCACAAAGACAAAAAAGTCTGGAAAACCCAGAAAAGAACATTGGAGACATACAGGACATGGGAACAGAGCTAAAAATATATACATATAATTATAGACCCAGAAGAAAAGAAGACAAGAATGGAGCAAGCACAAAATTTGAAGATACAGTGACCAACATTTTTCCAAACTGGATGAACATCAAGCCAGAGTTCAGAAATGCTATCAACGCCAAGCAGGATAAGAACTAAGAAACCTAGACCTGGGAAAATCATAATAAAACTGCTGAAAAACAAAGACGAAAACAAAAATCTCAAGAACAACCAGAGAAAAAGTAAGCATTATCTTCAGATGAACAACAATAAGACTGGCAGCTGACTTCCTAAGAAAACAGTGAAAGCTAGAACAAAATGGATAACCTCTTCAAAATGTTGAAATAAAATTACTGCCAACCTAGAATTCTATGCCCAGTGAAAATATTCTTCAAAAATGAAGATGAAATAAAGACATTTCAGACCAAAACTGAGAGAATTCGTCACCAACAGACAGGCAGAAGAAAAATCCAAGAAGGAAGTGCATAAGTGCTAGAATAAGGAGCAAAGGAAAAAGAGTAAATTTAAATAGTGACTTTATAACACAAGAATAATAATGTTTTATGAAGTGTGTAATATAGAGAAAATTGAAACACATGATAGCATGAGTTCATAAGTTGATGATATAAATAGAATTAAAGTGTTCCAAAGTCATTGCGTTGTCTAAGAAGCAAAGTATTCATTTATGTATTTAGTTCAGATAACACAGCATTGTCAGCACTGTGAAGGGAATGTGCACAGAGAGCTATGAGAGCTTAAAGGAGCATCGAAATAATGTTTAGTTTATTTACATAAGTGATTAAGGGTGTATAGCAGGTGACTTGCTTTAAATTGTTTACGTAACTCACTTGACCTGTATTGCCAAGTAAAGTCTGATATAATGTGAGCGATTTACAAGCTTTTAATGCACATCAAAATCACCTTGTCCTAGTCACAGAGATTCTAATTTATTAAAATAGCTAGGATCCAGGAAATCTGAGTTTTAAAAAAGCACCCCCAGGAGATTCTGATACAGGCAGTTCTCAGCATACTTTGAGAAATGCTGACATAAATATTATGTAAGAAGGGCTGCAGAAAGCAAGCCCTGCCTAATATTTCATAATTATTGTCCTCTCCTATAATCTAAATTATTCCATAATAACGTTTATTGTCACCTCACAGTGATGGCTCTTTTAAAAATAATTTTAACTCTTTCCTTAGTATTTATTTTTGATTTCATAATCTTGAAAAACAGCTATTGTTTTATATTAAATAGAAAAAAAAGAAAGTTTGTTTCACTATCAGAAACTGTCTGAAGTTGGAGTGCTTTAGGTATCTCTGTGTTCAAAATGTGCGCAATAGTCTCCTGATTATTTTTAGTTTCCCACCTCAAGCCAAGAAATTATACCATGTAAGCATTTTATAGTACCTTTCTCTTCTAGTACTTTTGCAGCATTTGTTACAACTCTGTAAAACAATTAAAATTAGTACATATATGAAGCAGTGACTGAACCGTCAAGTAAATAATACAAAATGCAGTATCCAGTATGATCATCTAGTGAAAACTCTGGACCCTCTGGTTAGAAAATGCACATAGACACAAAATTTTGCACAGGATTTCAGGGGGTTCCACTGACCCTACATTAAGAATCCTTTCCTCTAAAACTCTCAAGGAGATTTCTGGAGTAGGCTTCAGTCACTGATAACCATAGAGCTGAAGGGACCCTCCCTTGTTTTATAAACAGACACACTAAGATGGCTAGGTCTCCAGCCACATGTGGGAAGAGAGAGAGACCAGAGAAGAGTCCCTATCTCTAGATCAGTGCTCCTTCCACTGTGCACTGCTGCCTAAAGCCCCACAGACCACCTGGGGACCCTCTTCAGATCCCACTTACCCTGTGCCCAGAGAGTGGCCCCAGAGACACACGGGGGTGGTACCACTTCTCGCCTTGGTCCACTCATAGACACATATCGCATCCGCAGTCAGTCCCTCCTCTGTGGGCTTACCGGTAGAGTCTCCAAACCCTGGCAGTAAGGAAAGGTAAGCACAGTATCACCACCTCAGAAGTGAGGGTCATCAAAAGCCTCCTGCTTCTTGAAAAATCTTTGTACACTGTTCTTAACACATACCTCTGTAGTCAACAGACAAGACATGAAAGCCGCCATCACTCAGCACCTAGGTGACAAAGGAGCTGTTATCACTTTAATTAGAAGATGTAAAAGAAAAAGTGGTATAACCTACCTCTTCAACAGTTCCATAACCCTAGCTGTGATGGTTTAATAGGTAGGGAGAAGATATATTTTGAAATCTGGTGTTTGACTTCAACCTTGAGAAGATCAGACTCAATGGGAAGGAAGGAAAGCAGCATGGCAGAGCAGGGTCAAACAGCCTGGGTCACACTGTGGCTCTGCCATTTATCAGCTGTGTGACCTTGGACAAGCCACTTAACATTTAAATATGTAAATATTATTCTGAAAAGTAAAAAACAATAGTAACTGCCTTCACAATTTTTGGAAGATTACATGAGATAACATTAAAATATCTTGGTATATAGTAAATGTCTTTTTTAAGAATTCTTTTGAGAATAAGAACTCTATATGGAATTGTAGGAGAGGCAATTAAAGAATGGGAAGATACTTATATTAAATATAAACATCTAAAATAAAGAGATCACTGGAATATGTGAAACCACTTCCAAGCTCCAGGCAGATGAATGAGGAAAGAATAAGAAACAAAATTTTAAATAAAATTAATTACGTAGCTAGACAAAGAGAAGAGAGAAAAAAGGACAAACTTTACTGTGCAGACACTTTTAAAACTAAACTCTTACAACAGTCCTACAAGGTAGGTATTATCCCCCATTTTACAGATAAGGAAACTGAGCCTTGGAGAGTTTAAGTAATTTGTTCATGGTCGCCCAAATGATCAGAGGCAGAACCAAGATTCACACTTGGGTCTGCATATGTCCAAATGCTGTGTTTCTCCCACACCATAGATCTAGGTGACTAAATCTCATTGAGAACTTTTAAATACAAATTGAACTAATAATGAGGAACTAACTAAAATTTGTTAATATCGATTTAAACTATATTCCCTTCAAAAAAAGTTACGTGACAAAAATGGCAGTTAAGCATCCAGGAAAATGTGTGTTGTTTGTGGTGCTGTAAATTGAAGGACCACTTGCCAATATAACTCAAGAACAACAGCAACAGATCCTACTCCTAAGAATTTATCTCTAGGAAAAAAAAAATCCCCAAAGAAGAATAAACTAAATGTTTAAAGTTTTCTGTAGCAATACTAAGGAAGGGCTAAGGACGTTTGGTCGGGTTGGTTGGGCTGGGAAATGATACTGTGGTAAGTGGTATCCAGAATCTGCCTCAGGGAAGAAGTCTTATCGTACCTTCTCCACCCATCCCAACTACCATAAGGATGATCTGGCCACTTTTCACACCTACTCCTCCAACTCTTCTTTCTGTGCACATAGGGGACATACAATTCAGCTCTGCCAAGAGTAGGAGGAGGAAAAAATACATGTTGTCACGGACATCAGCTTCACCACCATCCCACATGGAGCGTGCAAAGAGTGGGGTACAGAACAGAAAGCAAACCTAAAAAATAATAAGCATCATCCTCTTAGACAAAACTGCATCCAGACCACCACTACTCATCCAGAGCCGGCTCTGAGAAGGCTGTGGTGAAAGAGTGGCTTCATGTCTGAACAGGGAAGCTGCTGGAGATGCTGGGCCTGGCAGGGTTCTGGGCCCCACTAATCCTGTTAAATCAGGAAAGGGCTGAGGTGAGAGCTGTCACGTGGGAAGAGAGATCCTGTCCTGTGGTCAATAAAGGGATAAGCTGCCTGATCACCTGCAGCAGATTACGTAACTAGAGCGTGGGAGAGGATAAACAGATAGCTTGCCTGGCCAGCTCTGAGTCAGAGACAGCTAAGTGGAAAGCCTACCATCTCCCTCACACTTAGAAATGCAGGGGCTGCCCCCAGCAAACTGGAGTCATGTAGCAAGCTAGTGAGGAGAGCAAAGTGTGGCCACCATTCCGCTCTGCAAAACCTTTTATGGAGCTGAGGCCAGAGCCTGAATGACTTTTAAAAGCAAATATTCTATGTCTTTATCCTATACCATGAAAGACAAAAAAAAGTTGTTTCTTAGAAGGAGTGACTTTCACACTTAGTATATTCTCTTAACCCATCCCTCATTCCTCAGAAAAAGCAATAAACATGTCTTCAACTCCATCTGGTGATGAAGAAGGTAATAAGTTTATAAAAGTGTTTGGGACTCAGATGTTCACATCTATTTATATCCCTTATGGTCAATGCAGGATGAGAAGCCCATTCTTGGGATTCTGAGCCCCAGACATCAAACCCACTATGGGGAGCTTTCAGTGGATAACCATGCTGAAGAAGATCTTATGGCTGTAGCCCAGAAGAGAATAAATGGAGACAAAAAATTGGTGCCTCGAGGCCCCTTCAGACATACCTTGACTAGATTAAGCCTGTGAGAAGCTGCCCTGTAAAAAAGGTTTAAAAAAAAAAAGCAAGAATTAGGAATTGGGATGACAAGTGCAATAAAAATCACCATCATGTTGCTGACATCTGATCGCACACCTATCTTTTTCAGGTTAGAGAAATAAATAACTAGGGGAAAGGGAAATGTTTTTTGGTGTCACAGCCCACGTGGATGTGTCAGGGTGAATGATGGATGGCTCCCCACTGCTGCCTTGTTCCTCGGAGTGAGTGATGGACCACAGGCCCCTACTGCTTCTCAACATAAGCATTTGATGAATAAGCATTCGAGTCCATCCCCTTACACTTCTACACAGTAAAACTTATCTCTAAGAATACTTTTAGAAGCTAAAAGAGAGTAAGTTCCACAAAGTGGCTTTTCAGAAAAGATGATGCAGTCATGTTCCGTAAACTAAGACCTGCCTGCTCCATGTCCACTCTGCCATTAAGCATGAGACGAAGTGGAGGAAAGAGACTCACAGCACTGGAGGTTCAAGAAATACACTTTTCCAAAATAACCATGTTGTCAACACTGTATTAACTACATTAATAAAAAAGAGACAAAGATGATTCAAAAGGCAGCAGACGTTTCAAAAACCATTTGAATTTTGTCTTAGAGCCAAGTTTCTTAAACTTGAGTGAATCATGGAGGCTTTGACCATATGGTTAAAGCTATGGACACATTTCCCAGAAAAAAGTGTATTTACACTTCAAATTTTATGCACAAATTTGGTAAAGGAGTTCATGGCCCCTCTAGGGCTTTTGTAGACCCCAAGTCTAGAGTCACTGTTTTCAGCAAGGTTTGCCATTACCTCCAGTTTGGCTTCCTTTCAACTCAGTACTGCTGATAGCAAGCTGAGACTTCCAGGTGGGGACAGGAATAAGCGGGCTCACCCCAGAGCCAGTAAATATGCAAAAGCAGATTCACACAAAGGTCCACATGATTCTTTAAATAAGGACATTGAAATGCGATACCCAAGTTTGCACTATCTGAACAATATTAAACAGTGATGGAAAATGTTAAACTAATAAGAAATCTCTGTAAATGTGACTCTAAATTGGATACCTTGAGAAAGCCCCTTGAGCAAAGGCAAGCCTTGAGAAAGCCATCATCTGATAGAAAAAGACAGTAAGAAAAAGAGACATAGGCAAGGAAGCCAAGGGGCAGATTCCAGGGCTTGTTACATAGTTTGAAGTATCCCTCCAGAGACAGAAGAAGGTCTGTGGGTCTCTGAGGCATGCTGCCCCTCCCCCAAGGCAGTCACAGCTGATAATCATCACCCACCATAATTACATAGGCCCCACTGAAGGATCTGGCAGCACATCAAAGGAGAACCAGGCTTCTGGGAGGCATTCTTAGTTATAAAGCAAGGTTGGGACCACAGAGAGTAAGCTGAGGCATCAGTATTCTAGACTGGAATTAGTCAGATGGTCCCCAGTACCTACGGTCAGAATTCCAGGTGATCTCTCATAGGGATTCATGCTCAATAAAGAAATCTCCATGTAGTTTAGTGAAAACACTATTGATACGTAAATTGCTCTTCCTTTCCCCATATCTCATGCCTATTCCCTTTCCTGTCATCCATGGGTTCAATCCATCATTTCAGACACACTTAGCAAGTAAAGAAACCACTGCCTTCTTTGAAATCAATATCTAAATTTTGGAAGTTAGTGTCCCTCTCAGTTAAAGATCCACATTATTATACATATAAACTATACAGATTTTTTAAAGGAGAAGCCCACCTCCAGAACACCCTCAAATTTAAAGGAAAAAAAAATGTGGAGACACGCTTACAGAGTTGAAAATCTTTCACTCTCCCACAGGGCTGAAATGCTCTCTCTCTTAAACCAAAAAAAAAAAAAAAAAATCCAAGTGAAGGCACTGACCTGTGTTCTGCACTGCCATGAAGATAAATAATAACTGGGTTGCCATCATGAAGGGCGGCTTCATACCAACAACGATCCTTCCCTTTAGCATCTTCTCCCCGGCAGCTGGGAACTGTGTGCCTGAAGAGCAAGGAAAAGTTTTAACAAACATGTATAGAGAGAAGAATTCTCTATCCTTGCCGAATTTCGAAACACTCCTTATCTCAGTCAGATAGGAAGATAGATAGATAGATGATAGATATGCAGATGATAGATAGATGATAGATAGATAGATAGATAGATAGATAGATAGATAGATAGATAGATAGATGATAGATGATAGGTAGGCAGATGATAGATAGACAGATAGATGGTAGAGAGATAGATATAAATATATTTTACATAAATTTATAGATATAAACTGTCTAAGTAATATACACACATGGTAAAAATCAGAATACCACAAGACATCTGTAATGAAAACCACCGTTGCCCTGCCCCACCTCCCCCATGCACAGAGACAACTCCTTTTGACTATTTACTGTTTTAGTTCTTCTGACTCCTACACCTAATAATCTTCCAAGACTGCAATTCTTAAATGCAATCCATCAAAATGCAGTGAAAAATAAGTGAAAGATAATAGATATTGCTGTCTACTATTGGTTTGGCTGAACAGACAAGTTGGATAGAATGTAAAGAAAACCAGTTTAGGTAGGAAATAAGAACTTTAACATGAAACTAAGCTATTCTACTGAAGAAATCCAGTGACCTTGTGGTTTTAAACACCTGTCTGAGCTCCCATTTCTCCACTTGTTAAACTAATGAATGAACCCTGAATATATAAGCACTGCCCTATGACATGTCATAAGGTGACTTGGAGAACTAGCCACATGATGACAAGTCTTCAGTCCCTTCAGTCTTTAGGGGTATTAAGTCTGACATCAAATCCCAGGGCCTCTGTGCTGAGAAGACAGGCCTCACTGCCAGCTAGATAAGCCACCTAGACAGCTGACTCACCAAACCAAGGACCAATGGGGTAAGAGCAAAGAATAAAAAAATTTTCAAATTTCCATATTCTTAGCTGAACTGTACCTTGAAGATTAGGAAGAAATTATATGAACACATATTGGTTCCTAAACATTCTACGATCACCTGTTTAAACTCAGGGAGATGAAATATAAAACAGGGCCCTGGAAACTTGGCAGCCAAGAAAAAGTAGTAGAACCAAACAGAAGAAAATATTGAGATCAGCATAGGAAAAAAAGATAATAGAATGCTTGCTCATGACTACATTTAACGAATATTTATTGAATGCCTTCTCTGTGCAAGCACTGTACTAAGCAGTAAAAACCCACAAACAAAGTGACCTTCAAAAGTTACGGTCTCATAAGGAAGACGAACATAAACCAAACAATTACACAAACATTAATTACAATAGGAAGAAATGCCATAAGAGACAAACACGGGTTGCCACTAGCTAAAATGGGGATGAGGAAAGGCTTCCTTGAAAATTACCAGTCTGAGACCCAAAAGATGAGTAGGCAGTTAGGCAGAAGCCGGAAATGGAGGAAACAAAGGATAGAAAGAATTGTTGCAGACAGTGTGTCCTGTGAGAGTGGCTTGGGATGCAAGGAGACCAGTGGGTTTGGAGTAGAGTAGGAAGGGTGGTGTGGAATAAAGCAGGAGAGTGGGCCAGGGCCAGGTCCTTCAGGCCTGTGAAAGACCCAAAGCACAAGAAAACACCTAAAAGTCGTCACACTCCAAAGTAAAGTTCCTGAAAAGCAAATTCAAGCAGGTCAAATATCAGCACAAAGGGAAGGTGTATGGAATAGCTTCCAGATGCCTCCAAGGAACCCCAACCTCTCCACGGGCAAGTAACAGCACTGCTTACCCTTGCCTTTGTATCATGAAAACTCCAACCATCAAGCTACCCAGTATCCAATCAGGGCACTCACCAGATTCCCAGAATCACTCCAGGTTCAACTTTGATATAGAAGTTCACTGTGTGAGGTATCTTTAGCTCTGGTTTCTTTAAATCCACAAGAAATGGTGCTTTGACTGGAAAGAAGAAATCATAATCAACTCCCAGAATCACATTCTAAGTCTTTTAGTCACAATCAAAAAGAAGTAATTAGCCCCACGGTTAACACGTTTCCCGGTTGCAAGCTACTACACTAAATTCTTAGCAAAGTATCATATTTTATAAACTAGGACTAGCCCACAGAAGAGTTGCCAAAAAAAATATCTAAAGCTAGACTTTAAAATAGCACCAGTGTAGTAGCTCATAATAGTTTATTCGATTCTTATCCTTATCTCAAGCTGAAAGCAGAGGAGACCACTCCCCTAAAAAGGTAAGAGGATCTAGAAACAAATAATGAGTGTTCTGCTAATGTCAAGCATTCTTTTTAAAGTGAAACCTAATCATTAGCCACAAGCCATGAAATGTCCAGGATAAACATATTCCTGAGGACATGCGGGTGAGAGCATTATGTATGTGCTGGAAGGACTGTGGCTTACATTGACTAACAGCACTCAGTGGAAAAAGCATGGAAATGTAAAGAGTCTCTCTCTCTCTCTCTCTCTCTCTCTCTCTTAGAAGTAAAAAAGCAGAGAATACGATAAGCAGTAATAATCCATATTAACAGCTGATTTGAAGACCGAGCTCCTGAACTGAAACCCTACCCACAAGGCCACGCTTTTCTATCTGTGCACAACAGATTGCAAGGACCCATGCTAGAGCCCAAAGTCAATATTCATAGATTTCAGACTAGATTTAACCCTAGCCACAACTTTATAACTGACATGTCTTTTTTATTGTACCACAACTTTCAGGATAGTGAGTTCTCTATTTGGGAAAATATATATAGGCAAATTCATGAAGAGTATATACTTACAAAAATTAAAAAAAATTAGCATGTCCATCAGAGGAGGGAAAATGTGTTCTTTTAATGATTTACTAGTAAAGCTATTGTACTGAGCGGCAATTTTTCTTCCAAGTGTTGCACAGCATTGTGGAAAAGATCTGCAAAATATTGTGAAACAAACAAGATATTCAAAATGAGTCTTCTTTTTCTCTTTTAAGGTCCAAATTAAATTTCTGAGACTGATGCAGCGAATTATAGGTAATTTGGCATTTAAGAATGTACAGAACTATATGTAATTAGGGCAGATCAGGACTGGGCACTAAGGGACAACCAAGTGAAGAAAGCAATAAGACAGGGCTCCAACCAGCTGCTGGAAAAGCCGAGTGTGACAGGACAGGAGAGGAGGGAACATGGATACACCACAGTCAGGCTTTTTCCCTTAGTGTAGCCCCATAGAAGGCCGAGGCTGGACCCGAAGTCATCAGGAAACAGGATTTAATCTAACAGTTGCCATCATAGTTTTCAATCACAATTCAGTGCTGTATGTGTTAGCTAGTGGTAGTAGTAATGCAATGAGCGAATAATGACCAGATCCCCACTCCTGTGCCTGGGTCTTAGGAAGAAATGAGCCAATGAGAGAAAACCCCCACTTCTGGGTGTGACATCCTTGGAGAGAGGGACCGTGAGGAGCAGGGTGCAGAGTGAGGAAGGACCTGGAGCTTGGATACAGCAGAGTTGGGGCCAGGGAGTGGGACATAGTGGGGCCATGCACATCTTGTTTATCCTACTGCTCCCTGCAACTCAAATCACCCAAACTGGGAGCCATCAGTAGACAAGTTATGATCCATGAGAGATCACTAATGCCACCTCTGTCTCTAGCCATATCTCTCAGGAGGGTGGACTGTCTCCTACCTTTGAGAAACAAAGGATACAAGAGGTTAGTGTCTCCACCTCCTGCTTCCAGTTTTGCCCACATCGTCCATTAAATAAATCCCTTTCCATACTGGGAGTTGTCAATGTGAACACTATTCAATGTAATCAAACTGTGAGGTTGTGGGGGGCTGGAAAGCATTTTTGATGAACTGTTTCCCCTGCCCTGATTTCTCTGCTAGACAATAGGCATTTTAGAAGATAACTATTATTACCGGTACTTTGCAAATAAGGAGATTGAAAAGTTAAGTAATCTTCCCAAGGTGACAAATCCAGTGACCTGCAGAGCCACACGTGCCCAGGTCTGTCTGACCCCAGAGTTCTCTGATGATCCCTAGTGAGCTGTCATACTCCTGGTGAGTTCAACTTGCCATCCATGCAAGCAAAAATAAGCCCCAGGAACAAGGATGCTCTCTGCCAACTTCGGCTCTTAGAGGAAGCTGTTTCAGGAAGCCCACATCCCCTTCCGGCCCTTTGCCCTGTCAGGGTCCCTCTCCCCTCCCACTTTCCACCCCCTTCCTGCTACTGTATTCTCAGGAGCTTTCTGATACCAAAGTATCCAAGAAAGACCTCTAAAAAAATCCTCCCTCAAGTGCTAATAACTTAAAGGTCAGAGAGCTTATGTATGTTTGGAAGAGGGATGAAGGGAGAAGATAATGAATCTCTGATGAATTTCCAGCTATTCTGCAGGGAGTGGAAAAGATATGTGGGCTAAAAAGATATGAATAGCTCTTCAAATACATCAGACATGGGCAACTGCCGACTCATGAAATCAGCAAGAAAGGAATGAAAATGATTGTTGCATAATACTTTAAAATAGCCTCCACGAAGGTGATAGGAAGGAGAGGACATTGTTGTTCTGATTTTAGAGATAAGAAATCAAAACCCACAGATCAAACCAAAATGGGCAGAACTGAACACAGTCTGAATTCTTATGCTCCCTTCCAGCTGGCCGGCTCTGGCTTCCTTTCTCCTGCCTCTCTGAACTCCAGCTACCCCACCTGTTAGGCTCCCGCTAAGTCATCTTTTGAAGGTAGCAGGGTGCTTAGGAGGCAGAGGCAGTAGAAGGAAATATGTTTCTGTTTTTAAAGAATAATTCATACAGGACTCTTCTCTCAAGTAGCTCAAGGCACTTCTGTGAGAAGCGCTGTGGGAAGAAAACAGCAACCGGATTCCTTGGAGCATCAATAATGCACAGAGGCTTCTTTCAACTAGGGGGGGTGTCAATTTGACTTCTCCTAGATCAGTAGGGGATCAAAAGTCACCAGTGGCTACTAGACCTTATTTGAGCAGAGGGTGCAGTTTTAGCCCACTCCCCAATAACGGCCAGCCACATCAAACGGCCACCTTGATGCTCTGGTGTTCCTTTGCCTGCCCTTTGATCCGCTTTGGCTGTAACGGCACAGCATCCCACAGGGCCCACAGAACCTAACTGGATGATTCTTACTGGAGAAACTTGGTGGAGCCTGAGCTGCCACAGGGCAAATCATTCATGCTCCATCCTCAGAGGTATCTACAAACCAGCTTTGGGAAACCCAAATCTAACTGCATTTGGCAAGACAACTACTCCAAATATTAAGACATGCTGCACGTTCATCCTCTGTGTTTATTCATTCAGCCAGCATGTATTGATCACCAAGCACCAAGTTACATCTGTGTCCTCCCCTCTTCTTTCCTCCCAACCAAATCTTCCCTTTCCTTCGCATCCACTCATGTGTCTCTTCTTTGCGAAAGCCTCTCTAGAGGCTCTTCTCTTTTCGCCCCTCCCACTAATAATCAGGGCCTCAGTTTGACCCTTACTTGTTTTCTGATTGTTTTCTCACCGTTAGCCCCGTCTTCCCAACTCTATACCTGGCCCCGGACAAGAACCACATGGCATGTAATGGTTCTTTTACATTCCACAGGGTCCAGCATAGGGATAAGGTCCATACATATTTGTTGAGCAACATGTTGAAGCGGAAAAATAGGGTGCACGGTGAGCCCTCCATGAATGTATGCTAACCGAAACTAACTTGGTTCCAAGAAACAAAAAGGATACCAGATGCTGGATATCAGCCTCAGCACGTCTTAAATTAGATCAGTAATTTTCTGCTCGGATGAAGAAATGCACTAGTATTTTATTCCTTCAGGAAGCATCTCTTGAGACTTAAGTTTTAGTAATTAGTAAGGCGAGTACTAGAGGGTCCCCAACTCCCGATTTCCCACTCCATTATCAACAAAGTGAGTCGTTCTCTAAAAGCACAAACTGCAGCTTTGATTCTCTGCCAAATATATGTTAAGTAATTAGCTATCTGCTCTACAGAGCGCAGAAGAGAAAGTCAGTAAATGCCAGCTTTCCCAGGACAACCGACCATATTAGGGAGGTAAGGCCCATGAATGTGAAATTTGAAAAGTGCAGTCAGGATAGTCTCAGTGGTGGTCAGACCCAACACAGAAAGGGAGCTTGGATCTGCACTGTGGGGCCAGGGGAGAGCTGCTCTCTGCTCCTTGCCCTGAGCTGCAGAAGGAATAGAAGAGAGGAGACTGGTGTTTGTCCTCACCACTCAGACGTTCCAAAGTGAAGTCTCCTGTGCCTGTATAGGATTCTTGCATATTTTGTAATAGGCAAAATTTAAGCAAAAACAAAGGAATAGCAAGAAGAAAGGTAAACAAAAATGCCAATACTTTCCCACTCCGACAAAACAAGGTGCTCGACTTCCTGGGTCCAGTGTCCCCAACTAACACCTGGCTTCATTGAAACAAGACTGGTGAGATGTTGCTGGTAGATTCAGGGCATTTGAGATTGCTGTTTAGGCCAAGGATTCATGAGAGGAAGAAAATTAAACATCCAATTGACTTAGACATTTCAGATTTAAAGGATGTAAGAACTTGGCACAGGCCATGCCAGGTTATGGTTTCAAGGCGCCTGTGATTCATCTCCAGCATGGCGGAGGGGTGTTCGTTTTTTAAACGCATGCCAGAGAGTCCACACTCAGGGAGCTGACTTCCCATCCTCCATCTACCAGGTAAGTCCTTGACCTAAAAGGATTTCATCCAAGACTACAACATAGATTATTATTATCACTATTATTAGTATTTTTCCATTTGTCCTGCATATCAGTAAAATGGTCACGGCAGATTAGCTATTGCAATCTGTACCATCTTTCTGGAATCTCCGTTTCAGAAGCCCCAAAGGGCTATATTACTAAAAAATCAAACCCGCGAGTCTCGCTGCCCAAAGTAGGGGCTGAGGCTGAGGCTGAGGCTGAGGCTGAGGATTCGTCCAAAGAGCCCAGGGGTTCACAGATCGGGGGCCTCCGAGGCCCCCTGCCCCACCCTCTGCTCCAGATTAGTCCAAAGAGCCCAGGGGTTCGCACAGCTCGGGAGGCCTCCGAGGCCCCCTGCCCCACCCTCTGCTCCATCCCGGGGCAGCCCGAGCTGGACAGAGCTGCGCTCCCGGGGTGGACAGAGCGCACTCACCGCAGGTTCTGCACGACCATGTCCCACCAGTCGGCCACGCAGTCCTGCGCGTCGGTCTCCATCCCGCACCGTGTCCCGAACAGCCACCAAAGGCGCTGCTGCCGGGAGC